CAAATCATTAGATTGTATTCCCTAGCTTAAAGGGCATCAAAGAGGCTTACATGAAAGGGAGGAGGAACTAAATACATCCTCTTGCCCCGGTTCCAGTGGTCCAGGCTCTCATATCCTACTGGGGGTTCCAGAACCACCACCTCCATATGTTTGCAAGCAGTATCGTGGGTCCAGAAAATCGGTTTTGGGATACCAGTTGAACCAGACGTGTGACTAATAGGGTCAGCATTAGATGTGTCTTGCAGATCCCATACGGAAGAGGCCATACACAACAGCCAGAATCTCTCTGGCGGCTTCCGGATAAGTCTTCGAAAAGTCAAAATGGGAATACTCCTTGCTCACCAGCTCATCCACAGAAGGAGCATCCAGAACATTCAGGGTGCATGCCTCTAGGATAGTTGTGACGGCTGGTGGTCTCGGCATGGGGCTAATCAGGGTGGTGCAGTTGAGCCGCTTGAACAGACTGCTATGAGCGACGACGCTGTTCCGTGGCGAAGTGAGGAACATCTAGATAGCCCGGTTAACATTTACTTGTCACGGAAAGAGGGCTCATCCCACTTACACAATATCCGGCTTTGACAGCGCCAAGCACCAAGGCTGGATATCGTAAGTCATTGGGCCCTACGTATGCGAGGATCTCCCCATGTCCCGGGCCCAGCTTTTCAGTTAACCACCAAGCGATACCATTGATGGCATTGGCTAGGGCTCTGAAGGTAATTGGGCGATATCCATCTTCGTAACTCATGGGGGAGATAGGGTATTCAGCATAGATAGCATCGGGCTTAACCTGAGCATAATGGTCAATGATGTTGGGGATGAGTTGTGTCCGAGGATCGAACGAGGATATTTCTGGAGCAGTCATTGTAAGTAAGAAAAGAGAACTAGTTGTAATACGCCCTAACTAAGAAACGAAGTGAACTCAACTTACTGTCGGAGAACCTCTCGACCCTTGAGAATTATTTAAAGAGAGAGACCGTACTAGAGGCAGGTTGGGAAACCGGGAACAGGACTAGACGCAATGGGGAAAAGATGCACTGCATATCCATATGAAAAGAAATGATACGTACAATAAAACAACGGGAGGGACAAGCATAGGGGCCATCGTCTATAACCAATAAAAAGATCCAGTCAGCTGACGGGTGGAGAGCAGTGAATCTTGTGTTCTTTGTGGATACAGCAAATACTACAAGACGTCGTGCTTATGGTTTTAAGTGGACTACTACTATATTAAATACTAGTACTAGTTAGCGTTGGGGCCGTACGCTTAGCCTAGTTAACTCTTAGCCCAACAGGTGTCTCTGACAACATGGCTATCAATGACTATTCCCGAGCAGAGCCGTCATTCTCTTGAATATTTTAGCATCTTTTCGAATTCTAGTATATGTACCTGGTTTTGGGTGTATGCGTTTTAATCATTCTTTTTGTATGTATGTTATCAGTCATTTTCTGTGGCAACAGTGGATCCCCTTGCTGTGACAATCTGCTAATCACGACTTTTAGAGCAGGATGTCCATTTATCATAATGTGCCTAACTTTTAAGTGTAGGTAGTTCCGCTTTTATCCTGAATATCAACGCAGTGGGTCAATTCATGATGACATTAGTCACTTGGTCTACTGAGAGCTAATTAGGCTGGATGAGTGACTGACTGCCCTGTCTACTAAGGCAATGCCTTTATACCTGGATTAAGTATGAAATCCAAAATGACTTGAAGAGAAGTCGGATCTTGCTTGGAAATAGGAACCTGCTCAATATAGAATCTCAAGTACTTCCACTATTATAGCATATGTAGTTATATAGAGAAAAAGGTTTGTAATCAGTTTTCAAGCTTACCTCTCTACTATATATCCCAGGGCCATGGGCGTGTAGAGATCTAAGCCATCTAAGTTCAACTTAATATACCTATACTTTATAACCATACGATACCGTTATTTTTATCGACGAAATGTCCAGTTAACCACGGCCAAGTGTCTCTGTCTCGGTATAGAGCTGGGAGTATGTCTGCCATCACAGTGTTAATCACTTTATATTGTCTTAGAATTGCTGGCGCATAGAAGTTCCACCAATGATTCTGATGTCCTACGTATCCAAATATTATATCAATAATAATGAGGGCCTTAACGGATCGACTTGAACGCGAGAAGATATGATGCCGTTTCCTTTTTTCTTGGTTTCCTGTTTTCTTAGTTCCTGTATTTTTCGCAAAGGTTCTGTCTGGGTATAGGAATGTGGAATGAATGAATGATTGACAGGACGGGGTTCGAAATAAACTATTCGAGCTTAAACAACTAAGTTTACACCCTAATGTACTGTTTGCTTAAAGTTGACGCCTGCTAATCTTCTCCCATTTTTCCTCACTATTCACCGTACAATGTACACGCACTAGCTGCTAAAAAGGAATCTTATGAGATTAAAAACGTCTCGAGACATGGAAGTGTCATACAGTTTCGGTTGAAAAGTTTGTTCTTCATTCCAGGTAATCAATGTGCATGAAAGTGATATTACTTGACTAGAGAAGTTGTTCAGAGCACGGGAGGCACAGCGAGAAAAAGTTCAAGTTGTTGAATGACATTGTGGGAAGTAGGAGACTACGCTGTCTTTCCCATGGGGCTTCTATGAGTGGATAAACTGGCTCCGGACTTCCCCCTATGGCACGATAATGATATCCGATCAATTGACAACCGAACCGGAACATACCGTCCTATCTGCGCTTTGCTCAAACAGCGATATTGGCTCAACGACAGATTAGGCGTCTGATCATGACACCCTTCTTAGTAAACTCCTGATTTTAGGTCTGTCTAGCTGCTTTTCCACGAAACAGTCAAGCCTGTTCCCTTAGCTGCAAGGTTTCTAAGAAGCCACGCATCATCCTTTTTGTTGCTCTATTCACATCATTTCAACTTCTGACTGACTACTTGCATGAAGGCTCTCCCTCTATGCTAAGACGGACTGGTCCGAGAGTTAATTCAATATTCCTGTGGACAAGGAAATACCATAGAAGCTTCTATCCCCACCATGTTGGCTACCAAGATCCCGTTCAAACTGAGATCCAACCTGACATATGTTATCTCTGGAGGGTTTCAAAGTTGCGTCTGGCCACCGCGTGGCGAATGACTGCTCGAGAAGCTCGCAACTTGATTCTACTTTGGTCCATTCAAGAGTTTTCTACGAAGGGGTTGCTTGTCCATGATTCTCCGTGCACTTTATAAACCCTTTATCTGTAAAGCTGACTTTGCAAAGACACCGCAGATTTGTCTCCAGTTGAAGGTCGTGTGGAAGGCTCTATGGTCACTGGGACCCGTTATCCAGCGAGATGAGCAACAAGTCCTGGCGCATGACTGTCGAATGCAAAGCCTTGGATCAAGGAACTTGGCGACGGAGATTCCTAAAGACGTCGATTATTCTGCCATGTTATCTTCTGCCAGTAATGTCATTGGTCTTACTGACCAGTCCAACTATACTGCGGGGGTACTCGTATATGGATGTAACGTCTTGCGCTATCAGATCGCACACTGTCAAGCAGTATCTTTAAATCCCGGGTCTATGGTGGCCGATGGTGTACTCGTTAAAACTGTCAGATTTCTGGACAAGTTGCTCCCTCACGCCAGTCACTCGTAGGCGGTTCGGTAGTCTTAATCATTATTGCGAATATAACCGACAAAAGTTGAGCCCCAATAATGTCCAAGTAGTATTCGGCATATCCGGTGGTGGTGGTGGTGGTCGTGGTCGTCGCCACTCGCCAAATATTTTGATTGAAAAGCCCCCTATCAGCCAACTCGAGTTTAACAACATATCCGGTGACTCAGGGATACAAGGGTCCAGCCATGTGTATTTCAAGCAGTTATTCCTCAGATCAGCCTCCCCGCAGGAAAGAAGAGTGATTGTCGCTAGGGTATTGGTTGCAAGAATAGTCCACTCGTGTCACTAGCTCCCCGAGACGCAGAGATGGAAATCCACGTACCACTTCATACCTACCGCGTTGACTCGCTTCTCGCGGTAGAGCTACTACTAAATAATTCGATCGCCAAGGAGTTCGTGGCGGAGCTGGCAGTGCTAGAAGTGAGACTTTAGCCATACTAGACGTCTTAGCTGCTACGAGGAGTCGGCCCAAACATCCGTTGTAGAGTTGAACTTAAATATATAAAGCTATATATGCGCATTGCAGGTCTTTTCATGATAGGTGATGATAAGATTTGCGAGTGAGCACTCCTTGAATATATTCTTTTAGAGGAGATATAGGCAGAAGACATGCTCATGGACATGTATCCAGACGGACCAGTACAATTACTTAGCAAACTAAGCGCAAAGCGCAAATCAACACAACACTATCAATGGACTACTCATTAAATCCAACAACAGCACAAAAGTAATACCGACACCCTACCATCAAAAGCTGACCGAGAGAGAAGACACGGCCCTAGAAGAAAATGACACACTCCTTACAAGCATTTACTATTATTTACTATAGTAAGAGTAAACTAAAATTCAACACAGTGTGTTGACCCTAACACTATTACCAGTAGGGAAATAAATACTGGCTATCAGTTCTAAGATTGTTTCTGTGCGTGGCATTTAGACGTGCATACTAGTATGCATGAACATGCATGCAGCATGCATGCAGTACGTTCTCATGCTACCTATGTAGAAGATTTATTGGTTGAATTGAGTTTCGGGATGATCACTGGCAGTACTAGTAGTAATACTAGTAGGGAGATTACATATTCTGCCTCTCTGGTGTCCTATCTGGGGATTGGTTAATTGAGAGTACCTAGCTAGATTGTTGAAAAGTATTGGAGGGAACATATGTGCTATTTAATCCGCTACGTCCCGCAACCATTCATTGTTTTTCTGCCTCTAGGGTTCATTAGTGGTAATGTGGGTCATCGTCTCTGTTGAAGTTTGAAATTATGTCCGAGTTGAAGTAGGCTATTTTTTATGGTCCTATCTTCATCTTAAGCCTTCGTTGTATGGGAACTAGACCCCTGGTCTGCCGTTGTGTATCAGAAGTCCTATATAGCGGGACACATGCCGATTCCCCTGTTCCGAACTAGAAGTCCTGGATTACATCGCTCTGACAGCTTCTTGATCGTGATATGAGTTGTCACATGGGCTAAAATTACGGCCACAATGGCGATACAGTCAAATACTATGCCATATCTGGGATGGATATAAATGATGAAGTCACATTCCCTTAGGGACTAACATGAAAAAGCAAATGCCACACATAACCTCAGGTCAATCATTGATTAGGCGATCAGCTTCTTGATGCCGGCCTCGAGGCCTGGGGGGTTGGCGCCAACGACATCAGACACCTTCTGGCCATCTTTGTACAAGATGAAAGTAGGCATGGCGCGGACACCAAGCTCGGCAGCGACTGTGGAGAGTTGGTCGACATCGATCTTGTAGAACTTGGCAGTAGGGTAGGTCACGCTGAATTCCTCGACCTTAGGGCTAATGGCCTTGCAAGGACCGCACCACTCGGCGAAGCAGTCGACAACGACAGGGCCCGCGTTGGGGCTGAGGACCTTCTCGTCGAATTCTGCCTTACTGTACGAACAGTGAGTGACATAAGTAACCGAGGGTGACGTAGGAAGAGAGGCAGAGGGGTGTGGGAAACAATTGTTGTTTGGTGTTCGTGCAAGAGAGTGGAGCCTTACCTCGTGATCAGCTGAACGTTGCCGCTAGCCATGGTGGATGAAGGTGTGAATCGAACGATGGGGGTAGAGGAAAAAGCTCGTCGAGTGAGATTGAAGTGTGTGCCGACGGACGGGCGAAGGGAGATAGTAGATGCGATTGCTCTGGAAGAGATCCTAACAGGAGAAAGGGAGGAAAGACGAGCGGTGGATGATTTAAAACTAAAGAAGATATTAATTAGCTCCAGATGAGGGGCTGATAGAGGGGCACAAAACGAGAATTTAAATCCCGAAATGACGTTGTCGGTTGGCCTGAGGTTGCACGGGATGAATAATCATCACAGTCCCCCTGTCCGCACCGAATCCTCTCGGCCACCATGGAAAGGACGCGGGTCATGGATGAGATTCTATGGATGGATAAAATTGCTTACCAAGTCACTCGCGAGACTCGCAGGAGACTATTAAATTGATTGGTCAAGCTAGGAGAATACATATTTGGTTACAAATGCGTGGCAATGAAATGGTTTGGTTGGTCAGTACTGAGTAGTAGGATGGGAGGATTCAACGGGCGGATGAGTGAGAAGATGCTTCTGGTTCTCCCGCTTCTGCAGGGGAAACATGCTTAAAGCGGCGGCCCGGAATGGCGTGCTCCCCGTCGCTTATCAATCAGGAATGGTCTGGATCGGCATTCATTTTAGTGCCTTAGGCATTCATTTAGTAGTACTCCGGGCTAGAAGAAAACACTGCAACCATACGAAAATACTAGAACAATATTAGTACGGAGTATACCATGTGCGGTTCTATAATTTCCTTGGAACAGTCCTACCTAGTACATTTATCTTTCAGTCGCCTGTTCCCAGCTACAGCTTAGCTACAACGGTTTTTTCTTAAAGAGTAGCATAATTCCTCAGTCTACGAGAATTAGAAATCTTCTTAACCAGAAATATTATCTTTTTTTTTCTTTCATTGTTGCGATACACTAGACCCTCATGCACCATCAATTAATAACTAGTATAATTTGGGAGGGGGGATCATAAAGGGTATAGCAATATCGAAAGAAAAAGCAAGTCACGCATGCAACGACTTGCATGTTGGCATCAATATGTGCATTGAATCGAAGAATGGGATTGTTTCAAGTCTATCGGGAGGATATAGTTCAGAAGAAAATGAATCAAATAGAGCCATTAACTTTGCAAACTCATTCAAACTTCAGCTGATGTGGGGGTATCAACAAACACAAGAACTAGCAACGCCCGCGAGCAAAAACGACGAGTCGGCACGGGGAAGACATCGAAGAACGAAGTGAACTTGTGGCTACGTCAAGTGCCACATGAAACACGTGCAAAACAAACAGCACCAAGGAGAGACAAAGGAAAGTTTCAAAGAAGTGACTGGGGTATATACGAAAGAGGCTGGTTAAATACTCTTAGGACGAAAGAACGCCAAGGAGAAAATCAAAGGATGGTGAATGAATATCACATCACCAAGGTCAAGCTCGGTAATAAGGCCCCAGTCAAGTTTGGCCATGGGCTAACTGCCCGATGCAGTGGCAATATCCTAATGGCCATGGCGGCCGTCATAGTCATCGTTGGTCTCAAAATAAAATTCAGCTGGATGTTCTTCGATAGGACTGAACTCCTCTTCCATAGATATTGCACACATAGATTGGACATTATTGAGCAGACCCTCGTTCGACTTAGGCCTGACTGCCGGGTTGACAAGCACAGGACGCTTTGCAATCTCATCATGCCAGGTCTCCTCAGTCGGCTCTGGTGCATTAACCATTTCAAAGTCGTCTTGCTCATTATGTACGTGGCTGGCTCTGGTGGTCTCATCGTGGTTGGTACTAAACTTGACAAGTTGTTCGTTACTCGTGATCTCCTCCTCCTTAGGTGGCTCTTCACGTTCTTCGTCCAATCTGTTTCTTGAGGAGCTAAGGCTTGGTCGGGCTGGGGTGCTCGTCCTCTGAGAGATGCGACGAAGGAATTGGCCTGACATCCAAGACCCTTCTGAATCTATTGACGCCAGCGATTGAGATAGAGGAATGTTATCGGCGTCCCCTTCCATGCTATCGCCCGTCCAAGAATAATGACGGTTTCCACGAGCATCCTGAGGTTCCGAATCAGACCCGGGAATTGGATACCGCGTTTTCTCATGCAATTCGAATTTCTCAGTTTCCATTTCAGACTGCTCAAAGGGTTCCTCAGGAATGTCGGGCGATTGTAGCCGTGAGTCAGGGGGCGATAAGGGCTCGTCACCGAAATGTTCCCTGAATTTAGATTGGGAACGTTTCACTGAACCGGAATGTAAGAAAGTTTTTGGGGGGACATATGGAGGAGGTCCTGAGGACTGTGTCGGAACCTTGAAGAAAGATTCATGCGATGTGTTCGACGAGAATTCTGAACCACGGTCTTGGAAACGTTCGCGATAGCGCCGCTTGAGGCGTGAGCTACCACGTCTAAATAAGGAGGTAATTGTGTTCACACGCCCACTACTATGATCGGATAGCCGTCGCTCCGAGTCAATAGTTCTGGACACATCCGAGGTAGATTCCCTGCCAAGATTGTATGCCTGCGAGGACGTCGGACTGTAAACCTCGCGTCTTGTCGGTGAATGAGATGGCGATAGAGTGCTACGTGACATACCCATCTCCTGCGATGGAGCGAAGCTGCGCCGCATACCCAGCCTCCGCTCCCGGATGGAGCTATCATCAATGTTACCAATAACATGAACGCTCTCGAATGATTGACGGTCACTCCGTTCGGTGCCTTTAGAAAGACCCCGCAACCATGAACCAGTTGAAAGCCCGGGAGTATTGTGTCTTGTCTCGTTTAATTCAGATGCGTCTTCAGCGATGCACTCTCTAGCTTCAGTAGGGTAATCGGCACTCAACCGGCCTCGCTGAGTTCCAGCCATGTCCTGCGATTCACCTTGGTGGTCGTGAGAACCACTAGCGATTTCTTCCTCCAACCTTTGGCGCTCAGCCTCGCGCTGCAGTTTGCGCTGTAGTTTTTCATACTCTTCGGCTTTCTTCCTTTCCCTTCGTCGGCGATCTCTTTCTAGCAGCTCCCTCAACGCACCTGCATCAAGGTCGTCGGCCAAGTCGTCAACTCTTTTCTTCGAGTGGAGATTATCCTCTGAAACGGAAATAGCCGTGGCCGTTTCTCTCCGAGTTGACGCTTCGGATGGTTTTAGACTTCTTGCTGTGGGAACACGAGGAGCCTCCACATAGCGGATAACAGGACGGGGAGTCCAGGCAGCGAAGCCGTTAACTTTAAACGTGCATGATTCTGAGTAATCAGATAGCGAGGATGCAGAGTCGCGAAGCGGGAGGCTGACGTCAGAAAAGTGTCGGTCTGAACGACGACTCTGGGCTCTAGGCCCTCTACGGGTATAGGCAGATCCTTGTTCACAAGGCAAGGTAGTGGAACGACGAGGTATATCAATGGGAGATGAGGACATTAGACGAATTTCTCGCTCCCTGGCGATCTCGTAGGCTTTTCGCTTGCTTAGCTTTTTCTTCAAAACCGCGGGCCCAGTTTCAGAACGGTTTTGTCTCCGCAAAGACGCATTTCGGGACAATGAGGGCTGGTCTTGACCGACGGTAGTGCGAGACATATAACCATCTGGAGTCAGACCAGTTCGGGCTGACGAGCCCCGTGCACCTTTCACCCGCTCGCTATGTGACGTAGGTGGAGGGTATGGAGTCGGCTGTGAAGAGAGAGGCGGTGCATCTTGAACAGGACCCGAGAGATCGTCAGCAGGCTGTAAGTGTCTGTTTTTTTGACGTTTAGATTTCTTGCGGGAAGGTTTCCTCCTCAATTTGGCATCGTCGAGGCTAAGGCGAGGTTCTTGTGGCAGATGGACATCAGCCGCAGCAACTGTATCCAACTGGACAGTATGCCGCTTATTCTTCCGACCAAACGGCCATATCGCCATGGCGCCTGGTCATATGTTCTTTCGTCCAGCGTAAGAATTAGACGTGGACGCAACTATTTTCGGATGAAGATTCGGACCGGATGACTGAGCTCATGAGGAATGATGGGACTGGGAATCACACGCGACCACCAGACAATCTAGACTGTGGCTCGAAGTAAGCAACCGAAATAAATAGAACAGACGGTTAATCCGGCGGCAGTTGAATTGTTGAATCAAGGTTAAACTTCTTTGTCCTCTTTCTTTTCTAATAAGCGTCACTGGAAAAAGATAACCCGAGACAACTCGAAGCGATAGACAAAAAAAAGTATAAGATGAAAGAGTTGAAAAGACCCCCCGGTTGTTGGTATGGACTGGGGGGTGTAAAAGGAAAACTATTGGTTTAGAACGAACGGGTAGAAAAAAACGTAAGTACTGAGCGAGTGCTATTTGTCCAGGTGAAAGTTAAGACCCTCCGGAGCCACACGCCACAAGGAGTGGCAAAAAGATAGCTTCCACCGATTACAATCAAGTATTAAAACGAACGAACGGGATTGAAGCGAAAGATGACGAAGAAGATGAAAGTGAGGACAAGGGAGGAAAGGAAGGAGGAAAGGGAGAAACAAGAAGAAAAAGTGAGCCCAAAAGACCAAAACCCCAATACCCAAAAGAGTCAAGTCAGTGAGCGAGGGACTGCCAGAGTGACTGCGAGGGCCGAGACAAACAAACCGCCCTTTTTCTGGGTCACTTTACCCAGGGGAGCAGGCCTGCTGGTTACACCGCGAGCGCCCCCGGCCCCGGCCGTCACAAGAGGGACCACTTGAACCAGAGGATCTTCCTTCCCCTCTCCCAGAAAAGAAAAATAAGAAATTATATATATAAAATCAAATTAAATAAAATCCATATTTCTTTTCCGTCTATTGTTTTACCTTATTATCTCGAAAATTACAGGTCAGTCCGAACCGTTGATTGTCTGCTGATCATATTGTCTACATCTCCTTTTTCAAAGTTTTGTTTTCTCTTAAACTCTGATAGTTATTACCGAAACGGCTTTTCTAATCTCAAATGGAAGCCTTACTAATAAGTAGGAGACTTCCTCAATATTCAGTCAGAGCAAAGAAAACAGAAACAGGCAGGGAAAGAATCCAACGGAGGTTGATCATGAAAATTTTCTTCACATGTGGGGAACCAAACCCACTAGGCCAGACTGCCAGATTGAAGCCCAATCCCATTGTTACTACTGATTAGGGAGAGACATCATTGGAATTGAATGCCTAGGTACCTTTTAGTACCTGCTTTAGGGACCACTTAGGCATGGATTAGTTAGTATTCAATAGGTCCCGTCCAAGCGGTGCTCCACTCTCCATACTTAGAAACAGATAGTACAATACCGCCCCGTACAATAATTACCCAGGACTCCGGCGGTACTGCGGGTGTTTGGCTACGTCCGATACTGTTGTCAGTGGTAACAGATGCCTAGAATCATTATTTTCAATAGTTCATCTGCTTCAAGTTGGAAATACGAGCGTGATGCCGTTATGGATTTTTCGGAACGACTCATGGGAATCAGATCAATAATATCTGCAATATCCTTATATTACTAGGAAGGCCCAGAGCTCAAGCATTCATCATTTCTCAAAGCCGGTACTCTACTGAAGGATAAGATATTCACCAAGTATCAGCCTAGCTCTCTACGTTTCCCCAACTACTTGCGCATTAGTGCAGTTGGTATCCTCAACAGGATGCAACAGGTATATGTACTGTGAGTGAGAGGAAGCGGTACATTAGAGTCTTTTGAGACAGGGCTAACACAG